ACAAGTGTGTTGCCCCAACTTGTGGTCCCCTCCTTTGGGTGGGTAAGTTCTCTGCAGGAGGCCATATGCAGAAAGATGGGTTTGGCTGCATGTAAGACAGAGGCAGTATGACACTTGCAGAAAGCTGCCAAGTCTTTCTCCACAGAAGGAAGTTTGGAGATGCCCAACTAGCCTGGCTCCACTGTGCTCCGCAGCAGCTGCTGGCAGACAATCTCCAATTGGTTCATGTCAGCTCTGGGTCAAAATGTTAGCTGGGTTTGGTGATTTTCTTGCTTGCTCAGTAACAAGAGGCAACTTATGCGTGTGGTGGGGTGGCCGGCAGGCTTTTGCTGCCATGAAAGCCTGTGTCCCTCCTACCAGAGTGTGCAGGCTTGCAGTCCACAGGCTGTGGTGTGGAGACAGTGGCTTTGGACAAGGGACCACAGGAACAAGCTCACCCCTGAGAGGAATGCAGAAAGCCTCAGGGAGATGGTCTGTGGCTAGGGGAGGAGGCAAGAATAATTGTGCACAATTGCTGGTTGTTCCCCAGGGATGCTGTGTGATGGAGTGGGAGGGGAGAGCATCTTGGAGGATGTCTCGGGTGCGTTCCCTAGGCAAGCTGAAGCTGTGTGTTTGTGATCTCGGTGCAATGGCAAACTTGCTTGGGGGTGGGGTCCCCCTGTATTTCTGAAAGGCCACAGCAAGTTCTGAAAGGCCTAGGAATGGGCCCATGTTAATACTGAGGTTGTAGATGCAGTCTAGCACCTAGTAGTGATGAGTCAGTAGTGTGGGCTGTAGAGTGACATGGAGAGTAAGAATTTACAGTACTCTGTTGTAAACTGTGATAGAGGAAAAGTGAGAGGCTGGCCCTTGTAATATTGTGTCCTTGCCCCCAGAGTTTTCCATTTTCACTGTGGAAAAAGCCTGTAATTTCTCTGTTCCTGTATGGCAAGGACTGGTTGATACTGAAGTCCACAGTACATTATTATGAAAAAAAGAAAGAGAGCTGCCAGGATTTGGGTCTTGTTTTGGGTCAGGAAGCAGCATTTTAAGGCTAGATGGGGACAGAGCTGATCTGCTGCTTGGAGCTGTTTCACGTAAAGATACACCTTCGGCTGGGACCACCATGGAATAGTTAAATGAGCAAATGCTGCTAGACAGAAGTCTTTGAATTTACCAGCTGTCCCACAGCATTATGGTTGCAGTGCATGCCTTTTGTTACAGCAGATTTATGGTTACTCTGACTATGTATAGCATCTCAGACCTAAAATCAGAAGTGACAACACTGAAATTTGGCTGTCTGCCTCTAAATATGTTTCATGCTTGTGCCACCGCACATGGAACGTCACCAAAAACTAAATACTTGGGCACTTTGTAGAAGAGTTAAATTTGTCTCTTTACAAGAGTTTATGCCTTAGAATCCTTGCAGCTTGTCTTAGATGCAAAGTCTAAATGAGACTGTAGTGCATTTCATGAGCTGTTTATAAACATCCTTGATTGGTTTATTCATATCAACCCTCAAGTTTATCTACCTTTAAATTTAACTTTAAATAAACAAGTTCATTTTAAAGTATTGGAATCTGCAGATGCATTTTTTGCAACTGTTATTCAACTTCTAATGTTAAACATTGAGTTCACAAGAGAATGAAAAGGATGCGGTGTTTCATCCTGCACCCCTGAGTGAATAGATGTGATGGGTAGTTCATGTACATGCTGTAGAGGAGAAGGTGGAACTGCTTCTTGTGCCAGGCACAGTAGCTCCAGTGTTGTCAGCACTGGGAGGCTACAGGTATACTGCAGCTGGCATGCATGCATCATCCCCAACATGCATTCATTCCTCTCCTAATTTAACACCTGTTTGGGAAGCCTTTTCCTTTGTTATTGGTGCTGGATACAGATCTTTGTCACAGCAGATGAAAACACTGCTCAGCCCACATATTGTTTCATTTCCCTCTTGAAGAGTGATGAGGCTGAACTACTTCAAGCCATGGAAGTCTCAGCCCTCCTGCTTCTCCACAAGAAAAATGTGGATAGCCCAGTTGCATCCTTTGGGCTCCCTGTCACAGCAAGCATTACAACCCACAGCAATATCATACTGGCCTGAATTCATGTACTTTCATGTGACTCATTATTCACTGGCATAAACCAAAGGGAGTGTCTTCTACATCACCCATTAGGAATTTCAGGTATAAAAAAAAGATGTTTTTTACTACCCTGAATTGTGTTTCTTTTTCTAGGTTTGGGTTGGTTGTTTTTTTTCTCTCTAATATAAACAAATTGGTTTCTGAGTTATAACACTTCTGAAGGGATTTTTGGTGTTTGGAGTTTTGGTTTTTTTTTGCTTCTGTAATGTAACGTGATGACGATGATGTTGTCAGGAATTATTTCCAGAAGAGATGGGTGGTCTGAGAATGTTTGAAGGGTGTGAGGGACCTTGCAGCACTGTGTGATGGGTGCCATCTGAACATACCTGTCCGTGTTCAATCTCACAGCATGTGAGCGAAGATCACGCTCTTGCACATTAGACATGGGCCACCAAGTCAGCCCACTGGACAAAGCAAGAAGATTTTAGCCCAGTTTTGTATAGACAAGGTATCCTCTTTATCAAGAGTGACAAAAGCATACCACATATGAGGTACAGAATCCATACAAAGACTTCCTTTTACCAGTGAACACTGATCCTGATAGAAAATCACAAGAGCTTGGCTGACAGTGAGTCTGCTGGATCTTGGAGAACAGGTATGGTTACCTGAACTCCATTAGGCTGACCTGATGTGTGTTTGGATACTTGGGAGGGCTGTGTCCAACCTCTGGCCTATACTACAGAAAGCTGCTTGTACTGCAGGTTAAGTTCTGTTTTGTTTTAACTCTTCACTGGCTTGACAAAAATTACTAAAACTGATGTTTTCCTTCCCATGTATTAGCTGGTTGTTAGGGTCAAGCTCAGTTCCGCTGAAAAAAGTACTGAATATACTTTACCCCATTTTGTAATATCATTCTTGTAGACAATTTTTTGGTAAGGTGCTGTTCATGATGAGGGTCTTCCACATAGTGAGTATATATGAAAGGGTACAAATAGGGCAAGTAAAATGATCTGGGGATGGAGTTGCCATATGAGCTGGAAGGCAAGACTGAGGTTTATAAAATCATGAAGGGTGTGGATAAGCTGAATCTGCACTGATGTTCACCAAGGCCTGCAATGCAAGAATTTCATGGCACTCTGAACAATTTGTAGGACAACAGTGTAAAACAAGAAATATGCAGTGTGGGTATTGACAGCCTGGGACTTCCTGCCTCATGAAGCAGAAGAAGCAGGTGACATCAGCAGGGTCAGAAAGGGGCTAGTCAAATTCACAGGCAACTTATGCAGATATTAAAATGACACAATAAGGATATACATTTAGATGATCCCAATCCAATTATTGGTGGTGCTGGGGAGAGCACAGAAGCAGGGATTCAACATCACGCATGTGTATTCTCCTTAAATAGTATCTCTTGTTCCCACTATTGAAAACAAGATAGTCTAGATGGACCATTTGTGTCTGGCTTCACAGGGTACTTGTTATCTTTGTGTCTGCTGGGTAGTATTTTGAAATCCTTCCGCTGTTGCTTGGTACCCACAAGTCAATAATGAGTGGCTTGTGTAGAACAGCTGATTTCTTTTCTGGATCCTCCAGACCCTCTTGGGATAACTCCATATGAAGGGAAACTAAAACCCAACAGCTGATGGTAGAGCGGTCATTGATAACAAATGTGACAAAGCAATACTGGGTGAAATTCAGAAGATTGCTGGGTATATTTAGGGTAGCTAGAAGGATCCAATGCCTTCGAAAGATTTTCATGCATGTCCATTTCCTGAGCCATCTTCTGTACCGAATGCTGCTCAAAGCTCGGGTGCAGTGAGTAGGTGGCTTGGGAGAGTAAAATACAAGCTTTGTAGAAGCTCAGCTCAGATGAGGAGAATGTTTTCAAGTATGCAGAAGAAACCCCCCCCAGACCCTTATGTTACTGAAGGTCGTACATTTATTCTCTGTTTGCAGAAATAACAAGGCAGGCTGACAGCTCAATGCAAGTCTGCTTAGAAAGGGGAGCAAAGTTTACGACATCCCCATGAAAGTCACTAATGGTTAATTCCAACATAACTTGAGAATTAGAGCCTGGCAATGCGGTAGATGGGAGTTTGGTTGAAAAGCAACAAAGCTCAAAGTCAGGTCTGATTTTTTGTTTTGTTTTGTTTTGTGGCAGAAGGGAAGCACGTGCCCTGGCTGGGAGCACTCTGTTCTTTTCTTCAGCTTGCTGACTCAGGTCCCGGAGTTTCTGAGCCGTCACTCTCTTCTTAACAGAGCTTAGCTCAGCTTTTGCCTGGAGCTCTGCTGTAAAAGAGAGACCTTTTACAGGCCAATGCCATGAGTGGAGGGAGTGAGGAAGGCAGGCAGGTAAATTCATGCTGACCGTAGCCATATCTTGTTAATTAACTTGCCTGCTAAAAGGATTTACAAGGCTTCTTTAGCTCCCATCATACTGCAGATCCTGCAGAAAAAAAACATACCATAGTGAGAGGTGGCTTTTTTTTGGTTCCCTGCTTAAATATAGTCCAAAATAAATTGCCTATCATATTGCATATAGTAATAATCTCTGGATAATTTTTGTTGATGGAGAGGGCTGAATCACAACAGACTGCTGCCTGAGAGAGGCTGCTGGAAACACTGATCCCAGGGAACCTTTAGGGTGGCTGACGAAATCAGCCTTTGCTAGTGATTTATTTTGTTCAGTTAGTGAGACTTAAGCAGCAACTGAACTTGTATAGTTTTGTTTGTGATTTGGATCCAGCATTAAAAAGACATTTGCTCTAGAAAGTATGTCAATGAGTGAATTATATGATTAGATAAGTAAGTGAAATTTAAAATTGTTCACAGTTTAGCCTTATCTCAAAGTTAACTGCTCTGCGTCTGACCTGAAAAAATCCTCATATGCCTGCATTCTTACTTGGTTTTTAACTGCCTCCTTCTTGTCTGTTCCAGGTTGCATGTCTGGTTGGACTTGATGCATGGCATTTGCATGAAACCTAACAGCCTATTTCTGGATGTCTGAGCAAACATGGCCTACCCAGCAAATACTAACGGCAATGCTACAGGTAACTAATTGGGAATGCTTTTCCTCCTTTGGGTTATTAATTTAAAAAAAAAAACCCAACTTTTTCTTAAATCATGAAAGTAGCAGCAAAGGGAAGTGCAGCAGTTTAAATAATGAAAACTCACTTCCCAGCAGATCAAGAGTGTCTGTTTCCACCCCACCCCTGCCACGACACCACCGCATCACCGCTTACACCACCCCACCACCCTGATAATCTTTTAAATATTTAAAGTATAAAAAGTTGTTTGCAAAAATGTAAGGGCTGGCACTCAGCCCTTCAGCATAGAGTGCACTCTGCCTTCAAGGACCTACGCTGGCTTACACCAGAGTCAGAGGCCTAGGGGGTTGCTGCAGAAAGTCATATGGTTGTTATCCTGTGTCTGTAATTAAGTTGTGAGATTAACCAGCTCTTACATATCGAATCCCCAGTCCTTCCTGGTCACCCTTACCGGTCAGGTTAATTTTTGTTTCTTGCTTCTCAGCAAAACATAAAAGCATTTCTCAAGCAACATCAAGAGGAGGTGGTCAGTTCATTTCACTTTTATTTTAAGAGGCCCCCCTATATGTCTGGTTTGTTTGGGCGATACTCATTGAAATAGATCACTCGGCATGTTCAAAGGTTGCTGCGGAGGACTGACTGGTTAGGAAGGGGCAGAGATTGCAGGATGATTGATAACAGCACAGCAGCAGCGGTCCTCCTGCGGTCATGTCAATGTTTTCCTGTTCTCCTAATCACTACACAAACATAGCTTTAGCCCACTAAAGCTGTGTCTGGTACAGTAGGTTTATATGGAAAATTTCAAGTGCATGACAGGAGTTTGTGGGTGCTCTTTCGAGACCTAATGTAGGTAAGATGGGAAATGCATTTATCAGTGAAGGCTGCGGTGTCTGAAAGCACTTTGAATGTCCTGGGAAGGAACATTAAGTATCTTTTTTGTTGTCCATG